CGCAGGTCCTGTCTCACCTGGAGGTCCAGGAGGACCAGGAGGGCATGGACGACAAGGCGGTGGAGTGATCGGTTCACAGGGAAGCTGAGGTGGTCTGCCGGGATTTCCAGGGGCTCCTGGTGCCCCGGCTTTCCCTGGGCGACCAGGTCTTCCAGGAGGGCCTGGAGGGCCTTGCGGTCCGGGGAGACAGCAACCTTGACAGTAATTTCCTGATACTGCAGACGTAGCAGACGAATAACCTCCTCCTACCGCAGCAGTAGGGGGAGAATAACCTGACGTTGCTGTGGATACAGGAGCTGGGTAGGCGCCGGCCCCAGAAGATGCAGAATAACCTGATGTTGCTGTAGAGACAGGAGGTGAGTAACCTCCGACGGCTGCTGGAGGAGGTCCTTGCGGTGCTGATGTTGCAGGTGCTTCCATACTTTCCTCTTCGTACTGGCGTCGCACGAGCGACCTCGTTGTTCTGTTGGCTTCCGGCAATTTTGTAGCATCTTCTAGAACATCCCTGGCTGAGACTTTGCATTGTAATAGTTCGTGATGAGCAACTCGTCGAATGTGTCTTGCATAGTTGTAGACCAATGGAAGAGTGATGCAGACGGAGAGTACAGCCACAGCAGAAAAAGTCACAGCAGCGTATCCGACGAAGCGGTAAGCCTTTATGCGACCGTCGATGTCCATGGAGTTGTACGCTTTGCACACTCCTCAACACTCTTTTATACTTTGACAACTGGTTCTTAAAGCTGTACAGCGGTAAAACGTAAGTTTTTGTCCCGACCGGGTTAAGTCACACCTTACGTTCCACTTTGGCATCTACGTTGACTAACATGGGATATCGACTAGAAATTTGCTTTCAAAAGAAGATTTACAAGTAGGCGGTAAAACACAAATATGTAGGTGTCGATACAATCGTAGGCGAGTTTCGTTATAGAATTCCCCGCGCGTATGACAAATTTTGACAGTCTCTTCAAAAAACTACGATTGATCAATAAAATGCGGTGAAGAGGAAATCTACGACGGGTGAAAAACAGACGCCGCTAAAGGATACGATGCAATTAGCAGCTAAGGGCAAGTACATTAGGCTTCTGCTTGCAACCAGTCCATACATTCAGATGAACTATGAAGAAAATAGACTCAAATGCCAAAAAAAAA